CCAAGGTTTGAGTACGCGACCCAACTTGCCCTCGTAACTTTATTATTGGGCAGTCGAATTGGGTTGTAATTTCTTCCCTGGCATGCCCCGCCCGTCCTCTCCCGTAAAATCACTCGTTCGTACGCCTGCGGGTCGCGCTCCACACTTTCCCCAGACGACCCCACGACACAATCCTACCGTTTTCTTTTACAAAATTAGCTGGAAAAATAAAAGACAGGAAGAGGGAGTAAGAGGAAAAAGGTCTGCTGTTCAATGAGAACGCCAAAAGAGCGGAGTCTGTAAAATAAGGCACACAAATTACAAAAGGAATGCCATATACGCAGATTTGCCCGTCGTGGAGAGAAAACCCAAGGTGTTACGACTAAGACCCCCGTGGTTTCCGGATTCTGGAGTACTTTCCGCCTATCATGCCGGCAGGCCGCTTGAAGCTTGACAGGGCTTTCGCCTCCTGACGATAGGTAGCTATTGGGAACTTTGGGAAGACTTTCTCCGGCCAGGTAAGCGCGGCATGAAGGCGGTTAAAAGCCGTGGCTACAAAGGTTGGCGAGTGATTTTTAAACATCTTGGGATGCACCAGAAGCGTCATAAAACTGCGAGGATCAGCCCAATAGGCGATGGGTGGCGGTTGGTAGGACCTGCAGTGGAAGGAAGCACATGGGTTAAGTTGCCGCTTTTGGCAGTAATAAGGGTTCAGATCTTTACATCTGAGTAAACGATTTACAGGTAAAAAAAGGCTTGTTGTGGAGATGCCTTAAATAAATTCTGCTGTTTCATGAAGGTGGAAGTAACTTTGAGGATAAGGATGTGTCACGTAAGCCCCTTTCGCCAGCATTAATCGAAGGATCGTGTTAAACGGGAATGCGGAAGTGTGTTTTTATGCGTGGGGTCTTATCGTGTAGTATCAGTGAAGTGTTTGTAAGTTAACACCCAAAAATAAGTAAATTTCTGTCAGATGTATTCTTTTAGGTCTATATAGCGAAAAAAACAATAGAGACTGTTATTATGAAAATAAACACAAAAAAACTCTCAATAAATAAAAGGATCTTGAATGGCGAAAACCGCAATAAAAGAACTGTGTACATCCATCTGTACCAATGTGGTAGTAAACAAGCAGATGGTTACTTCACTTGGCTCTAAAATCATAAACCGATCCAGGCTAAGCTATATATTTTACAATCAAGGTGCTTTTATAGCCTGTCATTACTGCTATTAAAAGAAATGCGACTAGACAGATTCAATACGGGGATTTTAAAATATCCCTTCATCCACACGAAATATGAAAGCTGGGAGGAGTATAATTCCTTAGGTCAGAGGTCCTAACAAGTGGAGCTTTAAGGAGGTTACCGGAAGGGACCCTTCCCGTCATTTGTGGCTGGGTGGCTGGCGC